GAAGCAATGACTCGGCATTTTGAATGGCACACAACTCATTCCAACACCAAAAGGCTCATAGTCACATGCCGTAATCATCACGAGGGGTGCAATGTTAGGATTCGGGCCATCAACAGCAAGAGACACGGCCACTGGGTCATATCCCGTGCGGTGAACACACACACATGTGTGTCATCCATAACTTCCCAAGGCCATCGACAGTTGAAATCCAGGGTGGTTGCTGCGGCTATCAGGCATCTGATTGAGGCCAAACCGGATCTGAAGGTGAAAGTCATAATCGCTGACATTGCAAGTCGTTATGGTTATATGATTAACTATAAGAAGGCGTGGCATGGAAAGCAGAAAGCTCTGGCCGCCGTCTTTGGTGATTGGGAAGAATCATATGCATTCCTTCCCAGGTTAATACTGGCATTGGAGGCGTCTAACCCTGGCACTGTGTTCTCCCCTCGATACCAAGATGAATAGATACAACCCCCAGAGCCAGGTAACGAACGCCATTTCCACCGACTGTTTTGGGCATTCAAGCCATCTATTGATGGTTTTGGCTTTTGTATCCCTGTGATTACTGTGGATGGTACATTCCTTACCGGCAAGTACAAGGGCACTCTCCTGATTGCCAGTGGGGCGGATGCAAATAGACAAGTCTTTCCTTTAGCCTTCGCCATTGTAGAGGGAGAGAATGCTGATAGCTATGGATGGTTTTTTCGACAACTTCAGCTCCACGTCACTAGGAGGACGAACTGACAATAATCTCTGATCGGCACGCCGGCATTAGAGCTGCCATCTTAGGCCTGGATCCAACCTGGAATTGGTCCCAAAGGTGGTGCATACGACACTTCAAGAGCAACTGGAACCATCATTTCAAGCGGAAGAAGCTAGCTGATAATTTGTGGTGGATTGGTAACCTCTCTATTGCTCTCAATTAACAATATCTTGTAATATGGGGAATGGTGCACTTGTTAGACTCTTTCTAAAGAGATGCATGCCTAAGGAAAAGGGGTTTTAAGCGATTATCATGGTCCTCCCATTTCCTGGGAAAATCGGGTTTTAAGCGATCTTCGGATCCCCCCTTTTTCTGTCAAACAGGCTGTGTTTCTAAGGAGATGTATACCTCTCCTAAGAGTCTAATGAGAGTCTGACCGTGTTGTTTGAAATTGTACTAAACTGAGGATCATTGACTAACATACTACTTTTCTCTGTGTTATTCAGCGGTTGCATACCATGAGAAAAAGTTTCAGGAGAAGTTGCAGAAGATGCGCGAGTTATGCCCTGAAGGGGCATAGTGGCTGGATGGACACGATCTATCCATGTGGACATTTCATAAAGATGGAGGGAAAAGATGGGGTATTGCCACAACCAACTCTAGTGAGAGTATCAACTCTGTCTACAAGGTCGTTCGTGCACTGCCAATCTCTGCTATTGTGGAGATGACTTTTTGGAAAACGAATGCATGGTTCGTGAACCGACTCCACTGGGCAAGGACGAACGAGGCACAGGGAAAGGTCCATGCCTATAAAGTCACTGAAATAATGGATAATGACAATCGCAAGAGCAGTCGACATAGTGTAACCGTTATGAATCGGGCAACTGGTGAGTATAGCGTGACGACCGTACATCGGGATGATGGTAGACGGGGGGCCACCGTCATGAAGTTTTGGTCAATCTAAGGACCAAAGTTGGTGAGTGCTCATGCCAGAAGTATCAGGGGAGAGGGTGGCCTTGTTCTCATGCAATGGCCGTAATTAAAAACAGGAGCAAAGACCCCCGTCACTTCGTTAGTCCATTCTTCAATATCGACTCACTCAAAAACACCTATGGACGGAGTTTCCTCGGTTAGGGGATGACTCTCGTAATGGTCTCTAAAATACTTCGTCAACCATGTAATTGAGACTTGGTGTTTCCTCATTGGTGGCATGCGATCGGTCGCATCAAGGCAACCCTTCACCGGTACTTTCACTCCCAAATGACTGTGGATGAAATGAACCCAACCGGGCATACCGTCACGATCCTCGGGGGGATGATCACTCACGCACACCGGTTTGCCGTCGATGGGCAGATGGGTTAGGATGGCGACATCCTTTAGCGTGATGGTGGCCTCTCATTCTCTAAAGTTGAAACAATGGGTCTCCTTTCTCCATCTCTCGGCTAATGCGGTGATGAGTTGGCGATCAATTTGGATGCCGTTAAAATGCCTAATCGAGTCTAACCGTGCCCTTTTGAGAAAGGGCAAGATAGCTGGGTGGAATGGGAGCACATTGGTGGTACCCCTGTAGCGGATTATTGTTTGTGCCTCCTAGCAAAAATTTACACGTTAATTATTATATATTAGTAAGGGTTTTTTTTCTTATAACTAAATTAATTAAATTAAATTATGCGACATCAAGCAGAATTTTATTATCATAAAAAGACATTTCATATTATCATATTATCATAAAACAAACGTCCTAAATTAATTAACATACTAAATTAATTAACATAATAACATTGTCAATGAATAATAATTTAAAGAGGTACATATATATTATCGTAAAACTCACATACTAAATTAATTAACATAAATAACATTGTTAATGAATAATAATTTAAATAGAAACATACATATTCAAATATTTGAAATTAATAAAATTCTTTTTGTGCACATAAAAATAAATCGTATTGGTTGTTTGGTAAATAATTTAATCGTATTGGTTGTTTTAAATAATTTAATCGAATACAAAGCAACACTCGTTAGACTCTTAGAAGAGGTATACATCTTCTTAGAAACGCAGTCTTTTTGACAGAAAAAGGGGGGATCCGAGGATCTCTTAATACCCGATTTTCCCAGGTAATGGGAGGATATGATAATCGCTTAAAACCTCATTTCCATAGACGTGCATCTCTTTATAAAAGTCGAAGTAAGTGGCACTATGTATTCGATTAAATTATTGAAAACCACCAACACGATTAAAAAATCAACATAAATTTATTTTATATTACACTAGGCACATTAACAAAATAAAAGAAGGACAAATGGTGAAGAATTGTATGTACCGGGTGAGCGTTCCAAACATCACTTGACCGATGGTTGGGTTGGTCGTACAAGTCGGTTGGATCCAACGGTCCTTGCTCGAGATAATACCGTTGGTTGTATATATCGACGTCCTCCCCAACCTATGAGAAAATAACAACGACGTTAGTACATAGATTAATTAAAAAGCTTATAAGAACAACAAAAATCAAAGCAGAATAATGAGTACGTACCGCTTGAAATTCATCGACATAAACTCCCTCTCCTTGCCACCAATCGGCCATTATTTTGGGAAATTCGGACAGAGGTTCGGCTCGGCTCGGCGAGTTTTGAGGAAAAAACCTAAGAAATATTTTCTGATGACAGATCGGACTTAGCCGCAACCAACAGACTTCTATTTCCTAGGCTTTTGGGAGGGGAGGGCTTAGAGAGATAAAATCTAGAGAGAGAAAGAAGAATGGGTTGTGGAGTGAAGAAATGAGAGGAGGGAAGGGGGGTATTTATACCCAACAGACCGCACCCCCCAGGGGCAGTCTGGTAATTTTACCAGCGCTGAAAACGCATCCTTCCGATGCGGTCTCCGCTTCCCGAGGAGCTGACCGCTCTGAAAAGCGACGCTCCGTTTTTCAAGGCCGAAAACCGCTCCTCCCCCGTGCGTTCTCCGATCCACCGCGCGGATTGCTGACGTGGCATTGCTCCTGCCCGCTTGATCGCACCATAATCGTGCGGACTGTAAGGCCGCTGGACACCAAACGTTGAACGCACCTTGGAGGTGCGTTTCCCATTCTGACTTGGCATAAAGCGCACCTTAGAGGTGCATTTTATGTTAGAAACGCTCCCTTAGGGTGCGGTTTATTTATAAAACGCACCTCTAAGGTGCGTTCCATAAAAATAGGTGCTAGTAGTGTAAATTTTATCGGATGTGTGCTAGTTTTGTAAAAAAAATTTTAAAAGGTGCTATTATTGGAAAAATCTCGGATATATGATGGAATTGCCCCATTTGGTTTTTGGTACAAACCATCGTTTGTTTGTTGGATTTCATGATGGATTTGGCGTTATTATATTTGTGCTTGTATTAGAAATTTACCTTAGTGCCCTTATTGAGTATTATTTATATTTTACATTATACTTTTTTGTTTAAAACAAGTTTCATCCAATAGGTTTGTCCCACTACCACAAACTGAATAAATGAACACCATTAATCAATAACAACATCATATTATACACACAATTATATTATACAATTCTTTAAGGTTTTCAATATTACAAAGTATGCTTTGCGATTAATCATTTAGTGCTTTCGTGCAATGAATAATAATAAATATTGAATGCAAAATTAATATGCACTTCAAGTTGGTAATTAGTAAATGAAAGAGGATGAGTAGATGATTAGTGAAATAAGTAGGGTTAAAATGGTAAAAAGTCATCATAGACTTTGTACCCCAACACAAATCCCACCTCTTGGGGTGGAATTATCAAGTATGTGGGGTCCACGGATTTGGACCCTCAAAGTCCATGGGCCCCACGGATCTATTCCTCCTAAATCCGTCAAGCAAACGACGGATTGTGTACACAAACGACGGATTGTGTACAAAGTCCATGATGCTTGGTTTTTACTTACCAAATCCATGATCAATTCCATGAAGCAAACGAGGCCTAAGTTATTTGGAAGCAGAAGAGGTTGGTGAAAGGGAACTTCCATCCACAACTCTCTTTCAAGGGCAAGTTTTAATCTCTTGGGAATTTGGGATAGAAATTTCTAGTACCATAGTGGATATCAACTTAATCTCTTTGTGGATATCAACTTAATCTCTTTGTAGGTATTACAAAAAGAAGAAGGATTTTTAGAATTACCGTTCTTTATTACTATTTATCTTGCAACTATATTGTCCAACCATGCTCCGAGACTTATCTCGATTTGGGGGGGAAAAAGAGAGTGATTATGTAATTTTACTCAATTTGTGGTTGCGCGCCTAAAGCAATAAGACAAGTTTGACAACATAATTTTGGAGTTTTGCACTTAAGAGTAATCAAGACAAATTTCAAAACAAGACGCCCGCCCGCCCATTAACAAAAGTAGGATCTAGCCTTCACCTCAATTTGAATGCCATATACAAAACTTACATTTCCACCCGGCTCTCAGCAATCGAGAGAACAGATAATTACATATACAAATGCGTGGGGATGGATGATTACAAAAGTTAGACAACTCCCTTAATAAGTCTATTTCTACACACTGCTCCATCGCCTATCAATACATTGCCTAATCACAAACTTCACACCCCAAAACAAAAATTAATAATAGCAATATGCAACAAAGTGGAAATAAAAAAGAATCACATTTTACCCTTCTTTCTTCTGCTTCGGTTCTTTGGGAGGGTAATAAGCTGGCTCCTAAGACGAGTACATGTCCATTGCTCTCTCTGCTTCTCGACCTAATATGATCAAAGGGTTTGAGGAAGCTCGAGGTTTGCGTCGGGCACTTCTTTAATTCCATCTTCATCCATCGAGATCTTGCTCCACCCAGCAGTCCTCAATGAGAAAACCTTTGGCCTATCAAACACACTCCCTCTGAACCCTGTTATCTTCGATGACACCATTGGCATCACAAGGACTGCTGATGCATTAATTGAGTCTTCCCCAAGACCAAGCGACATAGAACAAGCAGTCTGCATAGTGCAATGGCAACATAATAAAATACCGATCAATGTCTTCGTTTATCCATCACTCTTCACATCTCCACTCCTACACCTCTTTGTTTAGTATGCAAGTAATACCCAACTCGCATTTCAGCACCACAAGCAACAATGACACTGTAGAAGAAGATATACATACCTTTGTCTTGGACACTATCTCGGCTATCCTCACCACCATTCCCTGCACAAGCGACCTTTTCCCCTTATCTTGCCCTTCTTCTGCCGAGACTACAAACCTGCAACAGATTTATGCAATCCAGCAACACTTGAATAACTTTCCTAAGGAAACATAACTAACTAAACACAGCAGGCCATGCATTTGTATCAAACAACAAATAGCATCTACAAGGGATAAGTCACAAATGTGATAGCTCATACTATCGAAGTACTAAAATTTCAGTCACAGAAAGATAAGTCTCCGAAGTTCCGTCAACTGAAAGATTTATTTTCACATTAAGATGAACTGCACAATACCTGTCAGATTCACTTGAAGAAACAACTGAAACCAGAACCGAAGTTCCCTTGACCTCACCGCCTGAAAGTTTCAAAAACAATGTTTAGTTTTCTACCTTAGGCAGGACTAGACGGACTCTGATACAATCTCTACCAGTTACCACACCTTTTGGCTCATCAGGGGCCAACAGAGAGATGCCCACGAAGACACACATCATTCCAAGTGTGAACATTGTTGTTCTCAGAGCATCTAAAACCTGCAATAAGCCAACTGTAAGCTCGCGACGACAAAAATATGTCTAGGCTATACAACGAATTTCTAGATGTATAAGCTCCACTTGGATGACATCATCAATCCATATGCAACCCCAGCAGCAAAATGCATAGAGCAGATTTCAAGATGCAGTTAATCACTCGGTTATTCAGAAAGAAAGTGTAACAAATATGTGGACAAACTATCCGCATCAACTAAAATCCCTACAATACACAGATTATATACTGTTACATTCACAGGGCAAATTTTGGAAAGAAAAAGGCAAACTAAACCGCTGCATGGATGGTTGTGCAAGATACAAGCTCGCATGAAGATCATTTATCAAAACACCACAAAAGATTATCATTTTTTTATGACTCTGCATAAATGAAGGTATAAGTTCCAGCAGATGGGTAAAAATCACAGTAACAATTGCTCAATTATCAAAACACAAGGGCAGGGGAAGGTGGGAATGACCTGATACTCCTGGAAGTAAACAAATCCTGTACAGATAGAGAAGAAAGTCCACACTATCTGAAACATAGGAACAATTAATATTGCATCAAACTGGGCAAGTCCTTCATTCAACCTTGTCATCTGCGCAGATACAAAACACAAATTTAATTATGTATCCACAAGCTTCCTACGTGGTGACAAGTAACCAAAATGGAGGAAGCAAAACGAACATTAATCATACCCAAAAACCTGCAGTACTAAGAAATAAGAGAAGCATAGAGTAAGTGAACCAGCTGTGCAATGCATAACTGCTAGACATGGCCAATCTCAGCAAATTAGACCTGAAGGCAACAAAGTTTCTGTTAGAACCAAATGTCAAAGTCGAAGTTGGACTTCCATCTATACATGACGAGAAAACTGAACAACTATATCTGATGGTAGCTCACTTACAGAGATTTTGCAAACAACACTGAGCATGATCCAACTGCACCTGAAACTACAGCATAGGAGAAAGGAAGTAATGTTTTCCAATGTGGTCTAAGGTCTTGTCCTGAGACAGCAAGCATAAGCTCTCCTCTCCTGTATATTATAACACTCCACATAAGAGTGGCGAAGAACAAGTCATGGTTGTTTCAAAGGAATACAAAAATGTATTAGCTAGAAACTTACCTGTAAATGTATTGATGAACGACAACAATAAGGATTAGAAACAAAAGGTAGAAAAGAAATGTAATGTTGCTGTACTTCTCCACCAACTGCTCCGGAGTAAACACTATAAGAAAACAATTGGCATCATGTGAGTGTCTCTAGCCAAGAATCAATTCTATGTAGAAGATAGATACTAGATACAGCAGTTGAAGGTACAACCAAGTGACCCCTCAATATCATCTAAAACCTCCATACCAACAGGAAGTAACAAATTCAGCATTTACTAATGCAGTTATCTCCATATATCTTGAATCCAAGGGAGCACCACAGCAATAGAGACTTCTTAGTGTTCAGTCTGTGTGGGCTCACCCATGCATAAAGAGCCATAATATTGTTCTTGTGGAGGCAGGGAAGTAAAATGCCTCCTTGAGGTAGTAATTTTAAAGCAGTTGGACTGCAGTGTAGTAGTTTCATTGATCTTAATGAGCCACATGGTCAACGGCACTTAATGGCCAACTAGAAAAATAACTTACGACACCTGGTTTTACAATTTGTTTCCCTTGCATTGTGTGAGATTAGTGAACCTTATAGCAGACAAGTTCATTGCCAATCCTGAGCTATTTATATACTAATAAAGGCATAGTTCACCAGATATACTGATTAATAAAAACATAAGATGTTGGTAGGTTACACAATACACACTCATGAATTCATGAACTAATTCTGGACTGTTTCGATCAATAGACAAAAAGAAATAATCAAGAAGGAAAGACTTAACTTAAGGTACCAAGCTAATAAGATCAAATAGTGACTAATTGTGTATCAAGTGAGAAATCCAATTACCCGGAGATTGGTGGTTCCCAAAGGCTACAAGGAAAACATTTCCCAAGACTATAAAGGCGGTGGCAACAAGCACTCTGCATCCAGAAAAGAAAAAGAGTACTTTCAGTGACCCTGGTCCTGCAATATATTACAGCTCTTACACTACTCTTCTCCGTTCAGGCTTCAACATACTTGACAGTCACCATTTTGTTGAAAACGAAGTACGCAAATGCTATGTTGGACACAAATTGAACAGACCCAAGGGCGGCAAGAAGTGACTGCAAACAAAGAGAAGAAAGGCATGTTTTAATCTGCTATAAAGCAGAGCTGTGTACACCAGAATAAAGATGTGTGAGCTATACAAACCTGGGCAGCATAAGCAAATGAAATGAAGTTGAGACAATTTCCAAGAAAGAAAACCACAACACCTGCATAACAAAGGCACAACCTTTATGGGTGAAAATATGAGCCCCTTTTCTTTAACATAATAGCGTGAACTCAGTAAAGTTAGAATTATGAATGGAGACCTCACCAACCCTCCAACTCTGGAAGTCCATCACAGACTTCAAAGGAATCTTCACACTCGCGCCCTCACTGTCCATAACTGAATGCCTTTCTCTCTTCAAACAATGCCCCAGCGTTAGTTATAATTGACAGCTCATAACATGGAAGTCTTTGAACAAATTCATTCCTCCATGACAGGATGCTAACATCTCTAACAATGATGATAAATGCCACTAGTAACTTGTACCAAGTCAGGATGATCTAAATGAGACGCATGGAAGAAGAAGACGAAGAACAAAGAGGTGGGAGCCAAAGATGGTTGTTACAGGCTTACAGCAAGTGAAAAGAAAGACCACGAAAAGAAATTGCAGGGCACAATGCGTCAGGACGAAAGTAGGCCGTAGGGTTGGTAAAAAATACCTCATTATGACCCACTTTAAGGAGGTTAGTCCCAAAGTTGATGGCAATGCTGCCAAAGAGGTTAATAACAGCTCCAACGATCCACTCTCCCATAGCTTACAGGGTGCTGAATCAAAATTGATACAATCAACACCGCCTGGACAACATTCAGCAGCCAGCAAAAGTACCTTGAAATTCGGTTTCAACCTGCAACAACTGCACGTATATACAATAATCCAATCTCAGCAGGCAACATCAGATCTAAGAACATATCACAAAGAACAGATCGAAAACAGATTGCAAGAACAGATCGATGAGCAGATCACATGAACAGATCAGCAACCAAAAAAAATCGAAACCTAAAAACCCATACTTTAAACCAGTAAGACGATTACCTGGGAGAGCCGGCAAATGGGGGTGTTCCACTCGTGCTCTTCCACTCGAATGTAAGGACTCGGAGGCGGAATTGCGCAGCCAGAGCAGGGAGAGGGGAGAGAGCTTTGGATCGGGAGAGGGAAGAGGTAAGGGGAGACGGCGATTGCGATCGGAAACTGGAGGGCGGCAGCGGCAGCGGCAGTGGTATTCCACTAGAAGGTAGCGAGTCAGTGGCGGAGAGGAGCAGCCCGGACAGGGTGAGGGATGACGGAGATGGGCCGGCGCAGCAGCGCAGGCGGAAGGAACTGGCGGGCGGCGGTCAGCGAGGCACAGAAAGAGCACGGCAGGGAGAGAGAGAGAGGGGAGATGGCTTCTGGAATCTGGATCGGGAGTTGCTGAGGGAGGAGGGGGAAAATCAATGGGAGAAGGGATGTTTGCTTTTGCAGGAGAAACGATAGAGTAGGGGAGAGGAGAGGGGAAAAAACAGATGGAATGCGGAGCTTGGAAGGGAGAACGACAGACAAGACGACGAGACGACAACGCACGAAGAAAAATCAAATTCAAGGAAGGAGGAAGGAAAGAAGGAAGAGGAGAAAGGGAAGGGTCAACAAGGAAAAACGTGATGCTTTACCCACCCGGACCCGGGCAGCCCTCACTAGGAAGAGAAGGAAAGGCTTCCCCTAAGTCGCCTTCTTCTTGAGTTTTGGTTGAATAGAGTTCAATTCAGTTTTACTATTCAATTTAACATATTTTAAAACAATTTCACTAATATACATTACCAAATTATTGTTTCAAAAGAAATATATATTACCAAATCCTACTATCCTACCTCCTCCTCCTATCCTCCCATTACTATATAGAGATTCTCCATCACAATATATTTTATTCCAAATTTCCAGCCTTGTGAGAGTTTGTAGGATGGACATTTTTGTCATTTAAACAATTAAAATAAAACATTTTTTAGACTACAAAATCAAATTAATATGTCTATGCCTTATTTATATGTGTAGTGGTAGGATTTATTCATTAATAATAAATATGTCCAAATATTTTCAGACTTCTAAATCAAATAAATATGTCTATACTTATTTATATGTGTAGTAGTAGGATTTTTATTCGTTAATAATAAATAACCCAAATATTTTTAGACTTCTAAATCAAATAAATATGTCCACATTATGTATGCATGCAGTTTTAGGATTTTTATTCATTAATACTCAATATGTCTACTTAAATATTTATAATCTTTAGTTTGGAAACTAAACGTGTGGGATTTTAAACTATTGGGTTAGTAGCCAATTAAGAATCTTTAAAAGATAAACATTTCATATTTGCAAACATCTTAGTTTAACGCTTAAGTAAAATTTCAATGAAATGAAGTTGAAGAAGAAAAATTCGTTTGATGGAGGTATTGAATTAAAAAAATAGCGATAGTGAGTAGTGACGTTGTTCAGAATAAGAGATAGACTGTTGATGATAGATAGAGAGACTTTAGTGATGAATAGGAAACTATAATTATTGACAGAGATGATGATACATATGGTGAAGCAATAGCAAAGAAGTCCATAAAAAAAATTATAGTAATTTCTATTCAAGTAGTAAATTGAATGTAGTTTGATTAAGTTTTTTAAGAGTTAGTCCCCTTCCATGAGTTCTATTTTTAATTTTTAGTAAGAACTTTCGTTGATGAGCCGATTAGAATATAAGAAAACTCTTTTATGCATGTTATTTTTTTTTATTTTCCCATTAATTGAATAGTTCAAATATTTTGACTTTTGATATTAATAAAAATATATCTTGCTTAGTACAATTACAATTATTACTTATGTGTTTGAAATAATGCATCCATCCAACATGCATGGTAAATATTATGATGTTTATTCATTTTTTATTTTTCACTAATTTAATAGTCCATATATTTTTAATTTTGGGATATTGCATCCGGCCAACGGGTCGGGTTTCAATCTAGTTATCAATACTCATATTCAAATTTGGTTTTGACTGGTTAGAGACTATCCAGTTTTGACAGCTTTAACTCGATTTTGATATTTTCTAGAATCGTCAAACAAAGTATATTCCAACCATTTAGATGATCGGTTCCGATCAAACTCGGTTGAACCATCCAACCAAATACGGGTTTGACAACCTTAGGCCTAGTTCACTTCCCATTTCGTGTTCTATTATTTTGGCAACATAAAATAAAATCTGGAGAAAAGGTAGCTGCCATTTTCTGGAAAAAAATTATTTTTGAAAACCTTATACTAAAAACCTGTTTAGCTGAGATTTTTGGTGAATCTAATAACTGTAATATGATAATGAAAACATGTTCAGTTGGTTACAAGACCTGAAAATGAGAATATGTTTAATTTCCTGACACTAGTACATGCTTCAATATCAAATAAGTAGAAGTACAATCACAAATGTAAAGGGAGTCAAGTTTGGAAGTCATCCCACAACTTGCACGCTATTGCATCACGTCGAATATCCATTTGTCGTGTTCGGCTTGAACTATGTTGTACTCTTCTTGTTTGAGCCCAAGCGACTGGGGGTCACTCAGGTTCAAAGGATTTGGGGCGTCAGGCATGACCTTGAGGAGGGAGGCGCTCCGTCTCAGAAGATGTAGGAAGAGAGAAGTAGAGAGAAGTTGGAGTAAAGTGTAGATAGATTGTCATTTATGAGGAGAGAGCTCTTATTTATACAAGTCTAGAGGTTAGATAATGGTCCAGGCGCCTGCAAAGTCATAAATGTTGTGGTCGGGCGCCTCAGACCTTCTGACACTGTACATTAGGGTGTCCCCTTGTACTTTGTCCTTGCTGATGTTAGGTGCCTGGCCTTGTCCTTTAATCTTGTCTCTTTAGGCTATTTTGTCTTCTTTCCTCATAGTGTCATTAACTAGGGTCATGCCCTTTTAGAGATTGGGATACCCTATCAATTGCCCCTTTGGCGATGGAGCAAGTATTGCGACATCGTCAAGAAGTATACTTTTTTCGGTGACAAGATTTCTTATCCCAAAAACAAAAAGGTAGCAGTCTAAAACTAAAAATAAAAATAAAAAGCTAATATAAAATAAATATAAATATAAGAGCGAAATTATCTGGAGCGAGCCGACTGTAATGGCTTTAGGACTCGACCCGTCCGGTAAGATAACATGATTATGAGGAAGGGATTATGTTGGGTTGGGCTTTTGGGTTGCCTACCTCGATGGGTGTGCTTCTCTCTTCACCCTCTTCTTATTTAAACATGACAGCCCCCTTCTTTTCATTTCCTCCTCTCACCACATTTCGGAACCCACCCCCTCCTTTCGCCCTTCCTTCCGCGGGGCGCCTCTTCCTCTAGCGAGCTTTTTCTGGGTGCCACTCTACTCCCACACGTCGCGCCTACACACCTACCCACTGCTGCCTCTTCCTGTCGTTGGGCGCCTCCCTCGATTCGACTCAGCAGGTAGGGTCTCGCGCTCCCTTGCTCGCATTTTTTCTTCGGGTTCGCTAGGTCTGGAATAAAGATTCACCAGCAGCTTACCCTTGCTTTTGTTCCTTTGGGACGATTGTTGGGGCGCCACCCAATCCTTCGCGAGCCTCACCTATTGCGCTTTATCTTTCGTTCCCGGCTTCCTTTGGGCGCCATAGCTAGGGTTGATTGCTTGAAGGTAAAATCCTTTCAATTGTGGAATGATTGTTTGGGAGCCATCCCAATCCCTTGCGAGCCTCATGTATCGCGCTTTACCTTTTGTTCTCGGCTTCCTTTGGGCGCCATAGCTAGGATTGATTGTTTGAATGTAAAATTCTTTCAATTGTCCCCTTTCTTTTTGGGCGCTATAGCTTGAGGGGCGCCATAGCTGGGATTGTCGCCTTGGATTTCCTCAAACCTCCCAATTTTCTTTCGGGCACCGTGGATAGGGGTGATTATGAGAGGTGCCACTCCCCCATCCTTCATCAGGTATCGCCAACCGAGCTTTGCTCTTTGTTCTCGGATTTTTCCTTCCAGCGTCATAGCTAGGGTTGATTGTTTGAAAGTGGAATCCTTTCGACCATTATCTTTTCTTTTTTAGCACCATAGTATGAGAGGCGTCGTAGCATGAGAGGCGTCAACTGATTGCTTGAATTTTGAGTTTATTTGATTCATTTGGAACACCATAGCTAGGATTGATTACTTGAATCTTGAGTTTCTCAATTTCTCCCGACTTCACCTTTGGGGCGCCATAGCTTAGAGGGCGTCGTAGCTTGGTTTGACTTCTTGAATGTTGAATTTCCTCAGTTGTTACCAAGTTTTACTCGGGCACTCAAACCTTATGTAACCTAATTCGCGTGTTTGGGCCCAAAGCTCCCGCTTTGGAGCGTCAAATCGCGGATTGAGGACAGAGCACAACAAATTCACGAACCGTCATTTATGGGAGCGCGACTTTTTCTAGGAAGAACGTGAATTCAATAAAAATGGAGAATTACTCGGGTATTTGAAGAAGAATGTCTGCTTTTGTGGCGGAAGAGATGGACCCTCTTTCTCTCTGTTTTTTATGACCTGGAGGAATAGATAGAGAGCCGGAGAAAATGTTGAATTTCCTTAGATAGAGAGAGAAAGAGAAAGGGTGAGAAAGCCAGAGAAGATGCTTGTTTCTCGCCTTCTCTTGGGTTTGTTCGGTCAGGATCAACTAACATAGAAGCATGGAGCCCAATCGAAGAAAAAAAGATCACTGCAAATGGCAAATGGGTCAATTTGTTGGTCGATTGTAAGTTTATTGTAGAAGATAACCAGCTTCCTCTGTGTTGAAGAAAAAAGGAGAGGAAGTTACGATAAGTTATCTGATGGTGGTGGATGAATTGATAAGAGAGAAAAAGGAAAAGGGTAGAATAATAAAGAAAATAAAAAAGAAAAAATGATAGCTAGTAATATTAATAATTGTTAATTCTTTTCATATTTCATATGATGCACCTTTTTTGTAAAGATTACCACTTATTTGATCAAACATATTTTTCATACCATGAAAATTTTATAATATTAACAAAAAAAATTATTTATTATTTTATATTAATTTTATAAAAATAATATAATAAAGCTCTCCTCGCGCTCTCAATAATGAATTCTTTTAAAATAGACGATTTCCCGCTCTCGCTCTCGTTCCCGCTCTGCAAACTGGTTACCTAACTCAAATGTTGCCCTGGTCAATGATCCTCTCTTGGGGCACCACGCCTGTGGTCAGGTATCTCTTTGTACGCCACCTTAGTATGTTGGTCACCATGGCATCCACTTTTTTTTCCCTTTCTAGATGCCACCTTAGAGAAAGGGGGCACCTTCCTCGCTTTAGTTTTGTTTCTAACTAGTCATTCTAATTTTGTAGGCTTCCTGATTTGAGGTGTTGAAGACACCTCTTAATTCGAGGTTACGAGGCATGACGGTGGACTTCTTTGGGTGTGCTATCGTCTTAGGGATTGTACCCGGTTTTCTTCGAGGACTCGTTTTTCTGCTCATCTTTCCCTCATTGCGATGGCATATTGGGGATCAAGTCGATGCGTCTCCTTGGGTGGCGCTTCACCTCCTGTGAAAGGGCAGGTTGGAACTATGTGTTTGTGCTTTAGGAGTCTTAGTTGATTGGGTAGTGTCTAAAAAAGGCAAGAAGAAGGCCCGTGCGATTGCTAGCGATGATAGTGACGAGTCAGAGTTGAGGGAGGGTGCGCTTACTAAAGGCACCATGTCTAGTGAGGAACTCGGACCTAATCCTTGGGCTTTTCGGGCTTCTGTCGACCCTGACTACTGTATCTTCCTTTGGCAGGGTATGTGGAAGGGTGAGGTGCCCCCAGCTTCCGTACATTTTCTTGGTCTGGATAAGCATCCTCGGGTTCAACTGCACCGCATCTTATCTTACATCTGAGGTTTGTAGTACCTCACCGATTGTGAGTATGCTATCCCTGATCCTGGAATACGAGTAGGTAGTTGTCTAGGGATGGCAATGGGTCGAGTTGGGTCGGGTTTTGCCAAACCCAAACCAGTGGGTTTATCCGTGAAAAAAACGGGGTAAAACCCATTAGGTTTGACAAACTCAAACCCAACCCAACCCGCTGGGTGTAAGCGGGTTCATGGGTACCCACGGGTTTTTGTAGTAAAAAAATTACAATAACAAGTTCCTATCAAAATTAAAGTCAAATATCAATCTCTCTATACAAATTATCCATATATAAAACACCATTCTAGAAACTTCAAGCAAATCACAAATTAACTATACAAATTGTTCAACACCAATCTAGAAAATTCAAGAAAATTGAAGCAAATCACAAATTATCCATAAATAACATGATTAATTGAAAGCTTCTTCCTTTCAATTAAGTTTCTTCACTCTCCACTCGATAACATCAACTTCATTCTACACAATTAGAAAGAAAAAATTAGACATGTCTCCACAAACATAAATAAGATTAGTTGTTTAGAATATTAAATATATCGAGAAAATTAATTACATGGGTGTGGGCGGGTACCCATGGTTCAGGTTTACCTAAACCCAAACTCAACCCAACCCGGTGAATAGTGAACGGGTTTAAACCCAAACTCGGCACAAAACCCGTCAACACGGATTTTACCCGCGTTGACCGGGTTGGGTCGGGTGGGTACCCGTGGATTCGGGTTTTGTTGCCATCCCTATAGTTGTCCTGAGGGTTGGTTTGTGGTTTATTCAGAGTATTTAAAGTGTGGCTTGAAGTTCCCACTAGATCCTATCTTGTCGAGCATTTTAGAGATGGTTGGGTGCTCACCGAGATTCTTGTCTCTCTCGTTGATTTTTCATGCTTGCGCATTTCGGTTGATTTGCAAGCACCTAGGCTACAATCCCTCGTTCCCTATTTTCTCGAGCGTATACGCTTTGGAAAAGGGGAAACATGGTTGGACTGCTTTGAAGCGATACAACAAGTATCATGGTATGGTTTGGAAGGGTTCACCTAAGCTTCCTAGCAAGTGGTATTGCTCCTACTTCTTCATTAGGCCACGCCCCGGTACTTGGCACTCTCTGACGAAGGCGCCATTGTTGACCTTCTAGAGTGAGGGATCAGACGAGGAGTGGGCTAATGACTTTCCTCTTTCGAAGTTGGAGTGAGAGTAGAAGCATCACATTCTTCGAGCTCCTCCCGTGGACTTTAATATGGGCGCCTCGCACCTCTGGGGTGCCAAAGTTAGGTCGAATATATCTTTCTAGGAAGGCTACGTCGTCAGCTTCCAACGCTTCTTCCTCTTGTCAAGCACCTGAGGCTTCTAGCGGGGAGTTCGTGGGTGCCACTTCCCCATCATGCATTTTTCCTTTGAGGCGCCTCCTCTCATCTTGGGTTTCTTGGGGATTAGGAGACGTGTGATCGGGCCACTTTGTCAACGTTGATAGAGCTATCATTAATTGGTCCAGTTGTCCTTGCATGCTTGCCATTTGGAGTGTTTGCTTCTTGGAGCTTTGCCAATTGGCGTCTTAGGCGCTCCGCGTCTCCTTCACTTTCTGGTAGGTCGTCATCATCAGATGGTTCTAAGCCTTGAATGGTAAGTGGTTGAGGGTTGAGTGCTTCCCGACCAACAACTTGCTTAAGAGGTGTCTTTGTTGGTATCACGTTCTTCTCTTCTCCCTTCCTCGAGATGGAAGCGTCTTTCGAAGTCATGCTTAGCCCCACGGTGGGCGCCAATTGTTTGAGCCCAAGCGACTAGGGGTCACTCGGGTCCAAGGGGTTTGGGGTGTCAGGCATGACCTTGAGGAGGCAAGCGCTCCGTCTTAGAAGATGTAGGAAAAGAGAAGTATAGAGAGAGAAAGTAGAGAGAAGTTGGAGTAAAGTGTAGATAGATTATCATTTATGAGGAGAGACCTCCTATTTATACAAGTATAGAGGTTAGGTCGTGGTCCAGACGCATGCCAAGGCATAAATGTTGTGGTCCGGCGCCTCAGACCTTCTGTCACTGTACATTGTACTTTCTAAGAGAGGGCGTCCCCTTGTACTTTGTCCTTGCTGATGTTAGGTGGCTGGCCTTGTCCTTTGATCTTGTCTCTTTAGTCTATTTTGTCTTCTTTCTTCATATTGCCATTATCTAGGACATAACCAGGGGTTATGCCCCTTAAGAGATTGGGATACCGTATCACTTCTCTTTCTAGTCCTCCTTGCACTCCGTTAACGCCCTCCTCCATATAATAATTCTGATATTCTTCAAATAGAACATCTTCACAAGAGTGAATTCTAATGAAGTTATGCAGAACACAGGCGGCAATAACAATTTGTGCTTGTCTCTTTAGTGAAAAAGAAGGCATATGTTTCAGAAGTGGGAACGTAACCTTCAAAACACCGATGCAACGTTTGATGGCATTACGTAGGGAAGAGTGAAAATATTTGAATAGTGGCTTACAAGTTTTGGGTCCACCACCTCGATTGATTTCTTGAAAAATGAGCAGACTTCTTTGTTCGATATAGTGCTAGGAACCCAAGCATTTTAGCAAATTCGGAGTCAACAACATAATATTTACCTGCATTGTATATAGCAAGTAAATTAGTGTATTATAATATGATATTTATTTGTGTACAAACAATGATAAGTACCTCGTGGTGGCATTGGAAACTTGTAATTGGATTTGAAAATGTTTCACTAGGAATTCTAGCATCATTTGCCGTGCCCTCCCATCCAGCCATTACAAAGGTAAAAAGCATATTGAAGGAGCATACACACCACATTTTGAGTTGTTGTCGTCTTTTGCCCTAGATATGGAATTTGTTCAGCATTAGAAATAGATGCATCAATATGCACTCCATCTATAGCTCCAATGCAATCTTTTGTAAATACAAAAGTGAACATGATCAACAAAGTTGTAAATATTTTACTAGCAACTATGGAGTAAGTATTCTTTTACCTTGAAATATGGATCATGTCTTGAATAAACAATTTTGTCAGGGACGATATCCAGATTTGGTGGAATAATAATCTTGTTTGCAAGCTTGACCACAGTTTTCAATACTTTGTCATAGTACTTTGAGATGGTGGCGGTAGAATGTTGTAATCTTTCAACAATATCTCAAAAGTCATTAGCGTGACCTATAGTCTTAAGGAAGATGACAACTTGTTCTTCACCTTCTATAATGAATTTATTATTGAAAAGCGACCTCACATTCCTTCATGAAATTACACGTTTGGTCACTCAAATTATATACAATTTTCACGTTTGCCACCCGAATTACTTTTTTTTCTTATTCGCCACTAACTTTATGAATCATTTCACCGTTAGTCACCGACCGTTACACTCTGTTAAATTTATCCTATGTGGCAGTCAACTATAAAGTTTGACTGTTAACTAAATGACGTGGAAATTAAAAAAATAAAAAAATAAAAATATTTTTCCAACTCATCATTCCACCTACTTTTATCTATATGTTTTATCATAATAATTATTTTATAAAAAATTATTAAATACAAAAATTAATTATCAGCACCACGACAATCTCCTCTGCTACGAGAAGAGCGGTCGGCGGTTAAAGGCCAAAGAGCTCTGGTCGGAGCTCAACAAACTCTCCGACTTCCTCGGCTTCTCCGACGGCAACAATGATAGTAAACCCATTAATCATCCAGACAAAATAATAATCAATCAACTCCGCTATCTTTTTAGGCATTTTAATTTCTTTTCCTTGTGATTGGCGGTGATATTTGGTCCCTTTCTTCAATTGATTGCGGGCGCATCGCCCCCGCCGCGGCCGCCTGTTGTTGTTGTTTGAGCGATTTGGTCGAAGAGACGGAAAAGCTGGCGGTGCTGCTGGTGGACAGCCTCGAGACCACCACGTGGATGTTCCCCCTCTCGTCCACGTCAGCGATGCTGGCCCCCGCTGCTGGACGACAGCGACACCATGTCCGGGTCGACCCGCACGGATGAGATCCTGGCGGCGGTCCCGGGGGCCGGGAACTGGTCGGCGATGAAGGGAACGGCGGCGCGGTACTCGAAGAGGGCGAGGAGGATGGTGTACCATACGATGCTCTGGAGGACGACGATCTGGACCATGAGGGGGAGGTGAAGTCGCTGTACATGGCGGCGAGGAGCGGGATCCCGACGACCAGGGTGTTGGGGAGGGTGGAGAGGGAGAAGAGCGTGATCACCCAGTCCAACGAGGAGGAGGAGGAGGCAGCGGCGGCGGAGGAGAGGGGTTTTGGAGAGGAGGAGGGAGGCTTTTTGGATGGTGTCGGCGGCGAGGAAGCGGTAGTTCATGCGGTAGAGGTTGTTGGAGGCGAAGAAGGTGAAGGAGAGGAGAGGGACGGCGAAGACGGCGACGAAGCGGTTGATGTCGGCGCACTGCTCTGCCGCCGCAACCGTTTATGGGATACAGATTTAATGAGCAGCCGCAACCACTTATTATTTTATAAAATAATAATTAATATGATAAGTAAGTGGAATAATGATCTGGAAAAATAATTTTTTTTTAATTTTTTTTTTTATTTCCATGTCATCTATTTAACGGTCAAACTTTATAGTTGACTGCCACATAGGACAAATTTAACGGAGTGTAACGGCCGGTGACCAACGGTGAAAAGATTCGTAAAGTTAGTGGCGAATAAGAAAGAAAAGTAATTCGGGTGGCTAACGTGAAAAAATTATATAATTTGAGTGATCAAATGTGTAATTTAGCCCATATTTTATGTACTTATCATGATATGACCTTACACACAAATATTTATATTTAGGGATATATGAGTCATATCGGGTGGATGTTATAATAAGATGTTGAACTATTAGTTATTATGCTAGTCTTTTGGGTTTACTAATTAAGGGGTCGTTTGCTTCATGGATTTAAAAATGAGGGTTTTGTAATTTAAAAACCCAAGGATTTATCAAGGATTTGAGGCATCATGGATTTGTAACAATCCTTTGTTTGTTGGGATGTTTTTATCATGGATTTAAAGGTGTGTGATTTACTACTTGAAGTCAAAAATTACATTACTGCCCTTTTCTATATGTTTGACATGTTTATGATATGTACACAAAACAAGGACAAAACGTCAAAATTACCTTACTATCATTTTCTATATGTTTGACATGTTTATGATATGTACACAAAACAAGGACAATACATACTAATAAGCATAATGTTGCCACATGGACAATAATAATAAACGAGAAAATTCTGTTTTAACGTTTAACGTAACATAATCAATTACCAATTCTTTGTCCTCCTTTTCAAAAGTAACATATAACAACATATATTAGAATCGAAAGAACAAAGAATTACACGTTCCATGAAAAGGTCAAAGAAAACTAGAACACAAGAAATGATATAAAAAATCTAACTAATGTTTGCACATTAATTGAACGTTTATATTATTCATTTATTGTTAATTATAATGTATAATAGTTAAATTTGAGGGCAACCTTGAAATACTAAAAGTGCATGAGGGTATATGGGTAAAATCTCATCAAGGATTTATGCCATATTCCAAATCCCACATCAACATGTGGGATTTATAAGTCTGTGGGGTCCACGGATTTGGACCTTTAAAATCCGTGGGCCCCACGGATTTGGTCTCCAAAAAAGGTGCAAGCAAACAACGGATTGTACCTAAATCCTTGATAGTTGGTTTTTTGGTACCAAATCCATGTACCAAATCCTTGAAGCAAACGACCCCTAAGTCTTTACCATTAGTTTTTTTTTTTGTTAAATTTTATGTATATTGTTTATTAGATATCAATTAAAATTTCTAATAACTTAAAATGAACCTAAAAGGTCTAATGTAACACTCGAAATTCAAGGTAAAAGTAGTGCCGGCCGAATTAGAGTGTTGCAATATGTTTGCTAACAATTTGGGGGTGGGACCAAGAAAACTACTACATCAAATTTGATATCATATACTTGGTCAAAAAAAAAAATTTGATATCATATATATGTTGGTCTTCACTCTTCACATGCTTCGCAACCTGGATTATTTTCTTTTCACTTCCTTTTTAGTTTGCGGGCTGGGTCACTACATGTTAGGGGTGGGTATTGGTTTGACCAAACCGCTCCAAATCGCCCCAAACCGCTTATGCGGTCAATCCAAACCGCATCATTAAACTAACTAGGGGTGGGTATTGGTTTGACCAAACCGCTCCAAATCGCCCCAAACCGCTTATGCGGTCAATCCAAACCGCATCATTAAACTAACGGTTTCATTTGCGGTCTGATCGTTAACCCTTGGCGGTTCACGGTTCGGATTGACCCAAACCGCTCGGTAGCGGTTTGAAACCACAATCCGCTAATTCCTAATCTAGGTCAAACGCCTCTTCTCACCACACAACACACGACAGCAGCTATCCTCTGGGCGACGCCGACACGGCGCCATCTTCTCTCCGGCGGCACCATCTTCTCTCCGGCAGCACCAGATCTGACCATTCTCTCATTCCGCCATCTTCTCTCCACGGCGCCATCTTCCCCAGCTTTGGCGGACTGTCAAATACACCAAGAGGCGGGAGATTTCTAGGATCGAAGGCATCTCGATCTTTCCTATTCTCGGAGCTCCGGTGCTTTGGCCGACTGTCAAAAACACCATTACCGGCGAGATCAGGTATGCTTTTCTCCTTTGGTTCTATATTTGAAGTTACGAATATAGGGCAGCTCTGTTCGAGCGATCTCCCAATTGCAATCTCTCCCCGGAGGCGATATCAAGCTCTTGTGCGATACTGTGGTTGAGTGCGTTCGAGAGCTCACAGGCTACGACAGAGTCATGGTGTACAAGTTCCACGAGGATGAGCATGGAGAAGTAGTGGCGGAGAACAAAAGAGCCGATTTGGAGCCTTACATGGGTTTGCACTACCCTGCCACTGATATCCCTCAAGCTTCCCGCTTCTTGTTCAGGCAGAATAGGGTTAGGATGATAGTCGATTGCCATGCTTCCCCAGTCCATGTGTTTCAGGATGAAGGGCTGATGCAGCCATTGTGCTTAGTGTTAATGACAGTTCAATGTTCTAACTGTTTTATTTCATATGCTTGCAGGGCAAAATGAAATCAAAAGGCTCGAAGGGAAAACGAGCTCAAGCACCGATATCTAGCAGCAATGTGCTTAATGTCAGTGAGGTGAGTGTAGATGCATACACTGTCAAGTAGGGGAATGGGTTTTATCATTTAGCATCTAATTTCGTGAATCTATTCCCTACTGTCAGTGTGACCTTTTCTGGACCTTGTGATGAATGCATGCTTTGATCTCTGTACTCTAGTGCTAGGTTACAAAACTGTCTAGCCCTGAAGTCCAAAGAGGAATGCTACATATTTATCAAAAGCATATAGCAGCAGCATAATCATTCATGTCCATATATTTTAGATAGATGGGGATAGTAGTGCACTTAGTACCTATGGCAGCAGCATATAGCAGCAGCATAACCCCTATGGCATCCCAGAGCTATTGTCAGAGGATGGGGATAGTAGTGCACTTAGTACCTCAAGGGGTATGTTCATATTTTTTTATTTAATAGTCATGAATTTCTGAAACAAAATCAGTTCTTTATCTGACACAATGCTACAGGTGCCTTGACTATGTGATTGCTACTGATACAACTGGAAATTTTATAAGATTGCTTGAGAAGACCATGTAAGAAACACCACAAAAGACAATCCAGTGTATAGGCAATTCGTATTTACTGGCTGGCTGCCCTGCCCACTTCTAATAGGAGCATAGATCCAAAATTGGATTTCAGGTCTGGACAAATGTTGATTAGGTTGAGTTAAAAAATAACAGTAAACTATCCCAGGTTGAGTTAAACATTACAGAAGAGGGCAGAGCAATCCTTTCCCCAAAAGCAGGACCACCCTTTTCTTGTTGCTGCCAAAAAAGCCTTCAATTTGGCGCATATCATATCTGTTATGTTCTGTACTGTTGTGCTTCAATTTGGAAGGGCTTTATAATTTTATTCTTTATGTTCTTATGCCCTGTTCTCATTTACTCTATTATTGTTTAGGCCGAGTGTGATGATGTTGGAATGGATTCCTCAAGTGGGGAAGAGATGGAAATCGAAAATGATGCAAGTACGAGCAAGGTTCTTTGATCTTTATTTATGGATAATCTGTTCTTTTAGTTTGATGGAAACTACACGGAAGCCGTCAAAGCTGAAGTACTTGTTTTGTTTGGATCGATTCCTGAACTTGACCCTAAGAATGTGGAGACTACAATTCAGAATGGCTGCTGAAGTTTTGGACAAGCCATGTTGGATCGCTGATGTTGACTTTTTCACAAGCAGAATAATGTCTTAGTTTCGTAAGGTTCAAATTGTAGTGTTGATGGTACATAGTTGAAGTTTCTGAGTTGTTGCCTTCGGTTTCACAGAACTATGTGGGCTTGATCTTCAAACTGGAATGTTTGCTGAGGTGGTCTTTCGTGATGAATTTTGTTTTAGTTGATGGGATATATAGTTGCAGCAGCTTTAATATATATACTCCCTAATGTATGTATGCATAACCATATAGAGTTATTAACAGTTCCAGGAAAATTAGCTTTCAAGTGAGAAAATTAGCTTTCAAGTTCGAAGCTGTAAGCCTGTAAGGGCTGAGTCAATGCTGCTCCCTGTGAGCTGGTGACAGGATGGGGAAGAGAAACCTTCATCTTTGCGGGGCTATTGTCATATGAATTGTTAAATGCAGCAGAGAGCTTTGTCTCGACATTATTAACATCACCAACCAGTTGAAAGCAGTTGGTTCAGTAAATAAGAGAAGAAACCATCTTTTCTGTATTCGTTCGTGATTTTTTCCTGCTTGATACAGAGCAGGGAAAAATGATGCTAAGGTGGCCAGGTTGATTCGATGGTGTCTTACTTTTGCTTGTGATATGCACATGTGCCTTCGAAACAGATTGTTCTTCATTTAACAGAATAGAATGAAACCTTCATCAACAGTTGCTTCATATCTCATTCCATTTGCAACTACTCTCCCATTCTTGCAGCGTCGAAACTCCAAGGCTTGATTCTTTGGCAGGACATGGAGGGTGCTGAAAAATGTGTGTGCAATGCAAGGTCTTTACGCAAGTTTGAGACTTTCCTGCTGGGGAAGGACCTGGTTCTGAAAATATGGGTTGTCCTCTTAAGTAACAGCACTAAAGGTATTGCGGTCAAGATGCGGTGCGGTTTAAACCGTATCAAACCGTTAATTTATGCGGTTTGGTTTGACCGCACCGATAACTTAGCGGTCTCAATGCGGTGCGGTTTATATCAATGCGGTGCGGTGCGGTTTATATCATTGCGGTGCGATGCGGTCCGAACCGCACCGATACCCACCCCTACTACATGTGCCCAAGGCTCCTGCCCACTGAACTCTGAAGTAATAAAACCATCGGCCACTTTGTGGGCTTCATATTGGATCGTTGCGTACAGGCCTTGAAGTTTTTAAGAGGTTCCACGAATACTTTCCTTTTTTTTCCCTTTCCCCATTCAGTGTCGGACTAGGCCAAGACCAGAAACGCAGCTTTAAGTCAGACCGTCGGCCGCTCGTTGAGCCGACGCGTAAAATCGAAGCAACGATTTAGCGCGGTGGAGCTCGGAAAGTCGGACCGCTTTCGCAGCTGTAAGTGGTTCGGCGGCCTTCCTCTGGGCAATCTCGGGTCGCAAAATCTCGTGCTCTGGGTTTTGTGTTTGGAGGCTAAAGCTCGGAACTTTACCTACTAAAGAGACGCAGCTGGAAAGAGGGGTAGGGCTCCGATAATGGCGAACTCAGCCGGGCAACCGAGTCGATCGCGGGACTTGGACAAGCTCCTTCTCAGGCCAGGAAATCTCGTCGGCGAGAACTTCGAACCGGGTCAGCAAGTAAGTCTTTTTTTTGCCTTTTTTTGTCTTCTCTCATCGACAATTTGGCGAACATTTTGTGCGCAATCGAGTTTACCGCTTGTTTTCGGATTGATTGTAGTTGAGGGATGATCTTCGGGAGTATGTTCGAATTTTGGTGGTGGGTGCGGGTGGATTGGGCTGTGAGCTGCTCAAGGACTTGGCTCTTTCCGGTTTCAAGAATCTAGAGGTTATAGACATGGATAGAATTGAGGTTACTAATTTGAATCGCCAATTCCTGTTCAGGTATTATTTGCATAGCTTTACCCTTAGTGGTTGTTCTTTTTTTGCGTTTGGTTTTATGCAATGTGAGCTTCTGATGGTTGAGCAATTAGAATTGTTCCTCTTTGAGGGACTTGAGCATAGATATTGCAGTTTCTTAGTACAATTTGCGGGGAGTTTCTTAAACTGTTTGTTAGCTTTGATCATCGGACATTTTTATTTGAAACTGTAGCATTGCAACTGCTCCTTAGCTGGTTACCTAGATTAAGAGTATGAGTTCTATTGAACCAAACCTCTTGCAGGAACTTCTCTTTCTTGAAATGATTCAAGCTATTTCGTGATGTTGGTTGAGTATGCTAGTAGCATGTTATTCCTCAACAAGTTCATGAGCAGGCATTAGAATTTGTTTGGCCTAGAATATGAAATATGCGAAGAGTTTTTTTTTGTCCTGGTAGAGAAAAGGCGTGACTAGGTTTTGTTTGAAATCTCCCTTTGCAATCTCTATAGACTATAGCTGTCATTTAAGTACTATTGCAAATTGCTGTTTCGATACTTGTCTTAGATACTGCAAGTCTTAGTTTATGTCATATGTGTTGACAAACTTGACATAACCTTTCTGTCTAAGGATGCACTAGTTGCTTAGTTTCAGCTTACAATGTTGATATCATTGTTGTAGGCTTCAAGATGTTGGTAAGCCGAAGGCAGAGGTGGCAGCCAAGCGTGTCATGGAAAGAGTTAGTGGGGTGAATATTGTGCCTCATTTTTGTCGAATTGAGGACAAAGAGATCGACTTTTATAATGATTTCAGTATTATTGTGCTTGGTCTTGATTCAATAGAGGCTAGAAGCTATATAAATGCAGTTGCGTGTGGTTTTCTTGGTGCGTACTCTTCACAATATCTCACAGTTGGGTCCTTTTATGATATGTTTTGCCTGTGTTCATTTGCCTTATTTTATAACCTGGTTAGCCTCTTGCCGAGACTAACAGTTTGCATTGTTTTAATGTTATTTTTCTAAATTTAGAGTACGATTCTGATGACAATCCACGGGAAGAGACAATGAAACCTCTTGTAGATGGTGGCACTGAAGGTTTTAAGGGTCATGCCAGAGTTATTTTGCCTGGGACCACTCCATGCTTTGAGTGTACCATCTGGCTGTTCCCCCCTCAAGTCAAGTTCCCTCTATGCACTCTTGCTGAGACCCCTAGAACAGCTGCTCACTGCATTGAGTATGCTCACCTAATTAAGTGGGACGAGGTAATGGATTAGTGCCATTTATAGTTTGTAAAGTGAAGTTTTGCAGAGACAAAGTTGATTTCTAAATGATCATGATTCTTGTAGGCGCACAGTGGAAAGTCATTTGACCCAGATGATCCTGAGCACATGAAGTGGGTCTATGATGAGGTAAAAAATGATTCCTTAATTTTGATTAAGTGCTCTTTCCTATCTGGTGTTTGTTTCACTTTTATTCTCTTCTTCACTGGAAAACTCTGCAACTTTATGTAGGCTGTGAAGAGGGCAGAGCTTTTTGGCATTCCAGGTGTTACATATTCTCTCACTCAGGTAAAGCTGTTGTGTCCACAATTTCCATTCCTATGTAGCCATCCGAACGGCATTGCCAATATCTATTTTGTTGCTATAGTGAATTTCTGAAAGAGTGCTTTTATGGAAATTTCATCATCATTTCTCGCTTTGCCGAACTCTCACCTTGATTTTCCCCTTCCCCCACAGGGAGTTGTGAAAAATATCATACCAGCCATTGCTTCCACGAATGCAATTATATCAGCTGCATGTGCACTCGAAACTTTGAAGATTGCATCAGGATGCAGCAAAACACTGTCAAACTATCTAACGTATTTGTTCTCTCTCTCTCTCTCTCTCTCTCTCTCTCTCTCTCTCTCTCTCTCTCTATCTATCTATCTATCTACTGTCATTCATTTGATTTAGACTTAATTGAAAAAGTTTACTGCTGTCACCTTTTGCCAGATACAATGGTGTGGAAGGCCTGCACATTAAGGTGACTGAATTTGAGAAGGACAAGGACTGTCTTGTTTGTGGTCCAGGTGTTCTTATCGAGCTGGACGCTTCAGTTACTCTTCAAAAGGTAATTAATTCTTCTGCCTCTTCACAAACGGCTGTTATCTTGAAGCTTCAGTTTTGCTGACACTATGCAGAAGTAATATCGATGTTCACCTCTCATCTACCTTTTTGTTCATGCCAGTTCATTGACCTGCTCGAGGAACATTCAGTACTCCACTTGTCGAAAGCAAGTGTGACACACAGAGGCAAGAATCTGTACATGCAAGCACCACCAGTTCTGGAAGAGATGACCAGATCAAATCTAAGCTTGCCACTATACGAGCTCATGGGTAAAGTTCCAAAGGACATTTTGCACGTTACTGGTATGACCATTAAGGATGATAAAAAGACCTCATGCCTGAGGAAACTGCGCATTGTTTTCAAGGGGATCGATGGAGTTACAGATGTTGACATGGCCGGCGGTGCATAAAGCTGCAGAAGCTAATAGCAGTAGAGGTTTGTGGCCAAAACTTGAGGGTTTTCCCCTTCTTCTTCTAGGTATTGAAGTTGTCTTACAGAGTGCAGCACGTGCAGTGATGAAGAAGGCACCTTACTGTCGTCAATCAACCCGTAGAATTGTTTTTGATTATCCCCCCATGAGAGGGTTATTATGTACAGCGGAGGAAGCTCGGGTGGACAACTTTAGCTTCTATGTCAATTTGATGAACCTTTTTTTTTCTCGTCGAAAATTTCATCATCACATGCTGTTGCACATGGTAAAGAGCAGTCTTTTCAGTGGAAAATGTCCTCTGACAAAGTGAGGGAATTGTTTGACATGCCATGGAATTGATTGAGAAGTAAAGCCGAATTCCCCTTCTTCACTATTCCATTGTGTTACAGCTCAAACATCAATCACTATCAAAATAACCCAGAAGTTTTATGTTAGAACTTTCAATATGGCAGTTGTTTACCTTACCGTAAGATCACTTGTAACACGGAGATTAGTTGATATTCCCCATAAGATCATCATTCATAGTCAGAGATTAGTTAATACAGATGTAGTTGACGACAAAGATCCTCCTTTCTTCTACTTATTCGGGCTTGAGCAGATGGAAGTTCTGATTACCAGAGCCTTGATGCTGTCTTTTTTTTTTTGGTGCGAAGCCTTGATGCTGTCTGAATCAAGTATACATATTTTGAACCTTTCAAAATTGGAGGAAGCAATCAACAAAGGGAATTAAATGTAGTGCCAGAAGTCCAGAACTATGAAAAGAGACATTCATTAATGAGGTTTTGAATTGTCAGAGGACATATAGTCTTACTTGACTGCAAACCATCAGACAAATCAATTAGGCAAAGATCAGCAGGAGCGGTTGCAGTTAGGAACGTTTTACAGCTAACAACACTGTAGTACGTACGTACTGTGCAAAAGGGGAAATTGTTCTCCAGGATGGAGGAAACTCCAAACACAACACTTGAAAGCAACCTCATATCATATGGGGAATGGGATTATGGTTTATGGAGATCTCCCCCGTCCTTTGTTATGGGAGAGCTCTGGGTCCCTTTTCAGCCAGCCAGGCCACCAAAACGTGTGGACCAAATGACACTCTATGATTCAGGCACTTGGGCATATCACTGCAAAATGAACAGCAAAGTTCATATTGCAGCTGTTAAATAAACTCCAAACCTACCATCCTTCATTTTTACCCTCGCCACTTGGCGAAGGCCAAGCGCTCGTCTTCGATTGAGAAGTGCATCTTATTTCGATATACTATGCAAATCAATTTTGCAGCAGATTATCTGATTCTGGAGCTATGGATTTTCTTTGTATTGTCATATCACAAACTATTGCGACCCTTTTCTCCTTTACTCACTGTCGTATGGAACTCTTAATATTTTGAGACTCGATTAATCAATAATACAGGTTAACGAAATCCAAGAAACCAGCCTCCAGATTTCATTCTGAGATACGCAAGGAAAATTTATACCAAGTCTTGGTCCATTGCATGCCCTCATTATTGGACCTTGTCTGGCTTTGACGGTTGCAAAAGATACACTCGTCTTCTTAATATCAGTTTAATGCTTGACCTGGTGGCTGGTGCTGGTGCTGGCACCGGCACCGTCCCCTTATCCACATTCGAGTCAATAATTGAGCCATGGAAGCTATCTTTCCCCCTTGTTTCCTGGAACTCGACCTTTTTCAACTGTTCTTTCTTTCTTTCTTTTTTTATCAGCTAAGGTTTGATTCATCACCAGTTAATAAATCAGTACAACTGAATGACACTGGCCTTGCCATGTCCCCACCTCAAGAGGGTATTTGCATTGAATCCAAATCCAATAATGCTCAGTGATAAAATCCAAGATAGATCCTTTTTTGCGCTTTGAGATGCTGATATGATAATAGCACAACTTTCACTGAGAGCCAATGCAAAGACAAAATACTTATAAGATAATGATCTGTGGATTCTGATATGACCAACAAGGCTCAAAACCCACAATTCATTGTTCATCCATTTTAAAATTATGTGATATGGGTACTATGAAATATGAACCATACCAGTTGGATTGCTTTGAAACTTTGAAGAGATAGAGAGAGACCAGAAGACCCATCCACTTACAGTTTGCAACCAAAATATAAGTGGTTTTGAGGAGATTGAATTGGAGGCTGCTACATCTTTGGATATGAGATATCTTGGTGTGGGCTGTTTCCTTTGATTTCTCCTCATCCCTTTCTTCCTCTCTATCAAGCAACTGGATAATATCATATCATGGACTACTCCAACTACTTGATTCCTGTAGGGTAGTGAGGACTTAGCCAGATAGGCCAACTGTCACCATACCCTACCACCTCACATGCAAACCCTCCTCCTTTCCCCTTTCCCCTTTGCTTTGCTTACTATTTCCTTCTACCTATCCTCTTTCCCTCTTTTTCCCTATTTATAAGCCCACACTTGCCCATTTCACAGGAAGGAAAAAGAAACAGAAGGGAGAACCAGAGAGAGAGAGAGAAAGAAGGGACTCCTCATAGACCACAGAAGTCCTGATCTCATATATCCACACTCACTTATATTCTGTTTCAACTGCAAAACTACTGTCTGCTTCAAGGGCTGCTGGTTCGTTACTGAAGAGAAGAAGTAAGCAATTTTGCTTATGGAGGTGGCTATGGAGTTAGAAGATGACTTGTTCTTTGCTGACTTGAGCAAGCAGATTTCTCTCCTCATTATGGATGATGACGAAGACCCAGTTGCTCCTCCCCCTTCTGTTACCTTCCAGGTTCACTAAAGTTCCTATCTTTAATCATTTTCCTAACCAAATCTTTCACTCTTCTCTGTATATGAAGCTTGGGAATTTTGAACATTGGAACTGACGTGTAATTGATTAACCTTATCTTTTGGCAGCAGGCATACTCAAGAGTTTATTACCCAGCAGCACAATCACCATTCATGTATGAGCAGAATTGCAGAAGGGAGAGCAAAGGGACAGGGGTGTTTATCCCACAGTCAACACAGCCAAGAAGGAAGCAGAGGCAAGGCAGATATGGTACTAATAGCTTCCAGACTAAAGGCCAGAGGAAGTTAGAAAGCACAAGAATGGCTTCCCAAGTAACCACTTATACCAATTCCTACAACCCAAACAAGGGCTGATGATCATGATGATAAGGAAGGGGAAAAGAGCAGATAATAAAACCCAGAAAGTGATCAAGTTCTGCTTTCTGGAAAGTACCATGATTAATCCTCAGTTTGGCAAATAGGGTGGAGCAACAAGCAAGGAATCTACACAGCAGCCTTTTTTTCCTTCTGTCAAGATCTCTGATATGTTGAACATGTACATGGTGAAGAATTATGCTATTTATTTATTTATTGTTTTATTGGTAATGTTAGTAGGTTGTGGAGGTGGATAGGTTCCAATTGTAAGGGACTTGTGTCTCTCTAATAAAATGGCGGAGTGTATGCTGTACTAATTTTGCTCAATTAATTCATATGATTCATTATTTGAATTGTGATTAATATAATTAGAACATAGATTAATACATCAGTATTCAGGATAGCAACTAGCAAGGCAACTTGCACTTGAAGGAAACAACATACAAAACCCTTCTTGCACTCACTAAACATGGTTTGATACATCAGCAATCAACTAATCATGTTTTGGACTGATCTACTGTAATAAAATAAAGCCAGATCTGGATTAGGGTTGGGGAGGTTTAAAAAACTGAAACAGATGGGATTAAGGTTTGATACAGAGAACTGAAATGACAGGCACAGCAAAGCTTGAAGCTAAAGCAACCTCAAAAGATGCCAAACTATGATTAAGCCCTTTGTTTTTGTCATGGGATGCCACAAGGAGGAAAAAGGTTTTAGCATGTTGGTTAGTTTGTCAAAAGAATTTCCTTCCATTCTCATGATACCAATCATGTGCGCTGTGTTTTTTGTTTGTTCTGTGAGATTGAAATAAGATAACCACTCTTGTTTCTTTATTCAGTTTTTGTGCCATATGTGGTGAGTGAGTGTTACATTTGCCATTATAAGTAAAGAAACAATGGTAAGTTGGTTAGGCTATTTAGGGGGGTGGTTTGATAGTTCTTAAAATATATGATTCTAATCATTTTACTGCACGTATGCATGTATTGTTATAAATTTGAGATATTCTCGAACGAAAGGTTTGAGTAAAATATAAGCTACATCGATCATCTTTTATAATTGTCTATTACAAAAAACTAAAGGAAGTTGCATTAAGGTATCTAAGAAACATAATTTCATACCAAATTCAAAGACGAAAATTGATAAATTCTAAAATCCATATTGGAACAACATGTTAGTAAAATTAGTCCCATAATCTTTGAGAAAATCATTTTAAACGATAATTTCAAAGATGAATACATTAAGAGTGATAAGAGAATGCCGAAGGCAAACACTATACAATTTTAGATTCCAGATCCAACATAAATCTGTAAAGGCTAAGCACACACATAATTCTCTTTCTCAATCAAAACGTTCCAAGATCTATCATCTTCAGGGTCCTTGTCTAAGAGCATGTCATGTTTTTAAAAACCATTCATTCATTATGCCCATCCCTTTCCTTTCCTTTCAATTTTCCATTGCCCCCATCTCCTCTTTCCAAAACTAGCAAATTCCCTTCTGGATTTTTTCACAATGTACCACTTTGTACACTTCCCTTGAGCCTTTGGGGCACAGCCTGTTCTCAGGCCAAGGTCATTCACTAACCCTCAAAATCTCAAACCCTAATCCCTGTAGGCCACTTCGACCCTCCATTAATTTCTACGGAGTCGGTGCAATGATCTGTTTTTCTCTCTATGCAACAGAGTTACAAAGTACAATGCAATGCAGGCATGATGATATCCAGGGGGGAATTACCAGACCAATATGTTGGTGTAGTTTTGGATGTAGATGTGAAAGTGAAAACCAAAACTGTGATCACTGTGAAACAAGTGCTCAACCACAAAGTTAATTTTACAAGTGTGTGAGGGGTACATATCTTACAGGTAAGTAATTTCATATCCATCTCAAAATCTATTTATAAAAATGACTCTATTGGTGTCTTGAAATTTACACCAAATTGAACCTGCGACATGTGTACTAGATGAACTTGCTACAATCATAATTGTCAGAAGAGAAAGAGAATCGACAATACAAGAAAGTAAATAACATATAGGTTTACGTGGTTCAATAACACGATATGTGTTAGCTATGACTACAAACGGGAGAGAACAGTTTCACTATATTTGAGTATATATAAATTACAGAGGGATTGATAACGACATAGCACCTTCCCCAGACGGCCTAACCCTAATCCAAAATGGAAATTAAAAGGTTATAGACCATACCCAAAACAGAAAATAGATGTGTATAAACCCACACACCGTGACTTCCAATTGACGATATATAATCCGATTCCAAGTCATAGTAAAATGATAACGTTCAATTAGTTGAAAATGATAGCATAGTTGGGGAATTCAAAATGGAATCTGAGAAAGTTACTAGTGATCTCAAATTTTTGTTCTGTGGAATTGAGACTCAAGTCTTCGTTAGGGATGACAATGGGTCGGGTTGGGTCGGGTTTTGCCAAACCCAAACCCATGGGTTTATCCGTGAAAAAAACCCGTGGTAAAACCCACTGCATTTGAAAAACTCAAACCCAACCCAACCCGCTGGGTATCCGCGGGTTCATGGGTACCCACGGGGATTTTGTCGTAAAAAATTTACAATAACTAGTTCCTATCAAAATTAAAGTCAAATATCAATCTCTCAATACAAATTATCCATATATAAAACACCGTTCTAGAAAATTCAAACAAATCACAAATTAACTATACAAATTGTTCAACACCAATCTAGAAAACTCAAGAAAATTGAAGCAAATTACAAATTATCCATAAATAACATGATTAATTGAAAGCTTCTTCCTTTCAATTAAGTTTCTTCACTCTCCACTCGATGACATCAACTGCATTCTACACAATTAAAAATAAAAAAGTATACATGTCTCCACAAATATAAATAAGATTATTTGTTTAGAATATTAAATATACCAAGAAAATTAATTATATGGGTGTGGGCGGGCAGCCATGGGCCGGGTTTATATAAACCCAAACTCAACCCAACCCGGTGAATAGTGAACGGGTTTAAACCCAAACCCGGCCCAAAACCCGTCAACACGGATTTTACCTGCGTTGACCGGGTTGGGTCAAGTGGGTACCCCGTGAGTTCGGGTTGTGTGGGTACCCGTGATTGTCGATTTACTCAAGAGAGTTGGTTCATCTCACACACATTTGTAGATTCATATTAGTATGAAGACTAGGGATTAGGGGTGGTTATCGGTAAACCGGTATCCGGTATATCGGATACCGTACCGGATACCGACGGTATTCGGTATACCGAATACCGTCGGTATCGGTATTCGGGCGTGTGATTTTACATTCGGTAATACCGGATAAGAGTCGGTAGTTACCGACGGTATACCGGTATACCGGTAATACCGATTATAAAAAAAAAGCAGAGCAGATAAGACGAGGTGTGGGATTGCTTGGTTGCAGGTGGAGAGATTGTGGAGTGTGGTCAAAGTGTCTAGCTTTGATTGGGTGGTGGTGAGAATGGGGATTGAATCGACTAGGATTTGGATGGCTCCTGATGATGCGATGAGTGGCTTGTTTGGCTTCTCTGCCTCAGTTTGCTGCTGAGTGTGACCATCTCGGAGGCAGCTTGGATTTGGGCTTCTCTGCCTCCATTGAAGAGGTTCTGCAACATGAATGCCTCCATTTTTCTGGGGTTGCCTCTGCTCTACCAGAAACAGGAACAAGAGAGAGAGATTAGGAGACTCTCTTTCACCCCTCTTCCTTCCCTTTTGCTGTATTTGCTATGAATGCTTTCCTTATATGAATGGGAACAGGAAACATGGGTGGGCATTTGGTTTGGTTGCTTGGAGATGTGATGTTAACCTTTTGTGGGCATCCATTGTTTCATTAAGAAGCAAACTTCCTATTCTAAAGCTTTAAAGTCAGCTTTTTTTGCTTCTCTTCCCCTCACCTCTCTGTCTTCCTCCCTCTTCTCTTCTCTTCACCAGCAGGCAGCAACATAGTAGCATCTAACCGGTATTCGGTATACCGGTATTAATACCGGATACCGACTATTCAGTATTCGGTATACCGGTTACATTCGGTATCGGTATTCGGTGGGTACACTGTCTAGTTCCGGTATACCGAATACCGGATAATCGGTATCCGGTATACCGGATACCGACCGATTACCAGCCCTACTACTAGGGATGGCTGAAGATAAAAATTTCAGATGAACCTCTTAAATCATCGCGAATAACATTATATATATATATATATATATATATGGTGACTATTTCGGTGCACTTTGTTTTTTTAGAAAGGAAAAGGAGGGGAATGAAAGATAACTAAAGAAAGTTGGGGAACCGAGGAGGTTTCCGCCGTTTCCGAAAAAAGCAATAGTGGGGAAGGGAGGGAAAAGGAGGGGAACAGTTACTGTTTAAGCCACCCCTCCGATTCGGAGAGAAAACCAAAAGTGGAGTTTTTTTTTTAATTTACATTATCTCTCTGCTCTCTTTTCCTTCTTCTTTGTCCTTCTCTCTCTGCTCGCTGCTCTCTTTTCCTTCTTCTTCTTCGTTCTTCTTCTTGTCCTTCTCCAGAGTCAAAACCCAGAAAAGAAATCAAAGAAACTGATGTAAGACCCTTTTAAAAAAAAAAAAAAAACAACAACAACTACAACTAAACTCACATAATCTTACCGGAGAAGACCAAGCCTCTAATCGGTGGGTTTCTCGTTTGCTGCCGACGAGATCGAGAACGTCGACGACCCTCATATTTCTACCCTCCTTCGATTTAGATCAGAAATTTAGCAACAGAACTAGACATAAAAGGGATTACAATCCCTAAAAACGAAACCGAAAATCAAAACAACAACATGCATGTCCCAAAACTTGTCGGATCTACGACTCACTTGCCGCCGTCGCTATTGACGAGAAGGGAAAGAAGAAAGGCCGAAGGGAAGAGTGGATTAGGATCTTTTCCTTTCCATTAACTCGAAAATAGTTGAAGGATGAAGATGAGAAAGGTTTGAGAGAAAGAGATTTAAGAAAAATTTTTGCCTCTACTTTTGTTGCTTCATGCTTGTTTGCAGAGGAAGAAGATGGGGAAGAGAGTGAGAGAGGATGTGGCGGCTGAAGAAGAAAGAGATGATGGAGAGGGTTTTTCCCCTAATTTGGGTGGTAATTGGGGTAGGGTATTTAATTAATTGACGAATTAAAAGAGGGGAAGGAAATTAGGATTGTACTGGATAATTTAATTTGATTATTTAAGTAGGGTTTTTTATGGTCTTTGTTTGAACCCAACTGAGTGTAGGAGTGAGGTTCGGGGAAGAATGTGGGTCAAGGAGAGTAGACTGGGAAGATCAACTATCACCCGTGAAACAGGGGCTGAGAAGGATGAGATTGAGAGAATTGGAACCTTAGAGAGAGAATTTGA